TTCTCTTTTAAAGTTAAATGGAATTCTTTTTTTCTTTGTTTATTTACTTTTTATAGTTCTCTTGACGAGCGTTGAGTCGAATTCTTCATCGTTTATTTATAAATATATATTTAAACAATATCACTATAATAAATTATTTGCTTTGCCTATCTAAACAATTTTTATGCAATATTTATAGATTATACAGAAATATAAAATTCTTTCTCTCTGTTATTACTTTCTCTATGACAAAACTCGATGCAACAGCATCTTGACGAATGAATGAATATAGCGCGAGACGGTAGATGAGGAGGGTCGTTATAAATAGTTGATGAGCAATCACGCCTGGTTTACAAACTATATGGGGGAAACGTACAATGAAGTGGTTGACCGCCTCAAAGATTCGTTCATGTCGATGTAGCTTTACGGGGGAAATAGTGAATCGTAATAATATTCCACAAATAGGTATATATCTGTCTGGTCGTATAGCAACGTGATAGGTGGTAACTGGCGACTGGTACCCGGTGATTTGTAGCTGGTAGCCCGTCGCGCTCGGCTAATCCTACAAAGCGAGCCGATCTTAGAAATTTCTGGACAATTTATTCCATGGCATGCGATGCGTAAAAAGGACACCATTCGCGCGATCGTTTGGTATAACGATATTGTGATCAACTATTCGTGCAATCTGGAATAAAATGACGAATCTATAACCACAAACGTGTTGTAGAATTAAATATCGTACTTTGGTTCGAGCAAAGGATGCTTATTTGCAGTTGCTGACAATACTTCTCCGAATAATGGCAATTACATTATTTAATAAAGTTTATTGACGGTAATAAAAATTTGTATTTTGTTTTATTCCAAAAACGGACAGAACTTTCCGGTAGACCTGATATAAAGGAGAATATCATATAATGCAATGTCTTTAATTCAAGCAAAGTATTGATTTTTAATATCTTTTTTATGATAATGCATTCCAAATATTTAAAGTAAAGAAATTAGACTTTGTGATGAGTAAAGCATATCTCTTTTAGAAAAAAAAAATAATTGAATGAGTGAAGAATCTCTCACTTGCCGAGGTGTGACGTACACGCACAAAGACTACAGCGATCGCCACCCGCAAAATCGATTCTCATTTATGTCCCGCTCGCAGATGCGTCCCTGGCATTAGTGCCGTCTCCGTCTTCGCGTGTCGCTCTGCCTCCGTCTTCCTCGCCGTTCCTTCTTTTTTACTCTTTCACCGCATCTCTCTCCCTCGCATCTCAATCTAGACCCCTCATCATGTTTTAATTTCACGGCCGGCTTTCCCCTCGCCCTGGATCCCTTGCGCGCTGCCAGCAGCCGGGCGATACCAGATAGAGAGATAGAAAGAAACAGTGAGTAGAGAAGGAGGGAAAAAGAGGGAAGGCAAACTCTGCTCGATAACAAAGATGAAAGAACGTGTAGAGGGATGAGTGCAAGGAAGATGGGACATTCATCCCCACCAATGTAGGACTCGCGTCTATGGGGGCGTCACTCCGAGCTCCTTTCCATCCCCCCTTTCCCTGACCGACAGAGAAAGTCCCTTTATCCAAACGTCGACTCGGCAAAAGTGGCGAGGTAAGGAGTGAGACAGGTAAAGTGTCTCGAAGAGAGGGGTAACAATCCGAATGGTAGTAGTGGCTGGTGCGCGCACGCCAACGAAAACTTTATCCCCACCGTTCCTCCACAACGTGCTTTTTCTACGCTGTACACGTCGCGTATACGTCACCTGCTTTTGATCTTCCAAAGGGTTGCGACGGAATGGCATAAAAAGATTGCCGGCGGAGAGAGGGTGGGCATAAAATTTCCGATTTCTTTCGGAATTGACGCGCGGGCTCTGACGATTCACTCTTAATAGCATGTTTCCATTTTCGGGCCGACACACGTGACTTTACCGATTGTTGTCGTGTTCGTGCGAATGCCTGCGCGATTGAAATTACTGAAGTGTACATCTGTTTTTAATCCTTTACAAACCGGATCTCTCAATTTCTCAGCGCGCTGAGAGTTTTAGCACATCGATTTTGAAAATATCGCAGAGAATGTGCAACTCGAAGGGACATTTTTACCAGTTTTTCACATTTGTTCCAATCTTCTGCCAAGAAGATTTGTTAAAAAATTTGTTGAATATTTAATTTACATCAATAGACATAAAAATTTATATTGATATCTCTCTTTAATATTTCTTGACTTTGATAATATAATACATATGCAGATTAATTTATGCTTTATTATAGTAAGGTTTTAATTACGATTTTAATTATTATACACACGCACACAATATATATTTTCGAGTCAAAATTTCTCTCTTACTTTCGATCTCAATGTTCAATCTAACATCTACTTTGATATTTTAAGCAGTCGGATCATGCTATTTTCAAAAAATGAATTTATCTAATCTATAGTTTTGCCCAAAGTTCTCTCCCCTCTGTTAAACTTTTAAGAGGAAAACTGTTTATTGCCTAGATGAGGTATAAAGTAAGAATTCTCTCAATACACAATACAATTCTTATATAAATAAAATTTATTAAAATTATATGAAATTCATAAATGTGAAAAAATGAATGCTGAAAATAGGAGAAAAATTTTAATTCGGGAATAAAATACATTTTTTTATAAATATGTGTATATCGTTAAAGCAATATAGTAAGTGCAGTTATTTAGCGTTCACGTTTTGAGACAAATTGCAATTTTTCTTAACTTTTCTTTTTTTTTTAAATTAACATATAATATATAATTTCATATACATATATAACATTTTTTGTATATAATAAAGAACATAAGAAATTTTGCAAATACTGCACATTTTGGTCTGTAAAAACAAATGGTTAAGCAAGGGAACGGTCAATGCGATTTAAATTGCTGTCGTGGTTGCCACGCATGGAGGAACCCTAATAAGGACTTGTAGCGTAAATAAAGTCATTTACGGTAGGTGTCGTGCTCATGGTTTTTTGTCGAGCCAACTCTTCTGTATAGCATTATATGCGGTTGGTTTAATTGGTTTATTAACGTAGGTGTGGCTTTTTTTTCGCGCGTTTAATTTTTTAAATAAAATTATAATTTTGCAATGCGTTATATAGATGATCGCTGACTTTAATGACAATCATACTACAACATATCCTATCCGCCAAAAGTTAAACTATTATATATATTTTGTAGCGCGAACAAAAATGTATAATCATCGAAAATGCCTGTCGACTGCTCTATCAGGACTAGCGTAATTTTAATAAGAGTCACCGAGATAAAGTCGTTTGCGATAGTTTTCTGCCATCGAGTCGGGACCCTTCGACGAATCGGGCCTTTCATCACGTACAGGGAGAGATCGCGTACGACAAAGATCGCCTCTCGAATGGGACTCTGGAGGATCGGTTTGTTTTGTGGATTAGGCTCGTGTTTTAGTCGCGGCCCGCGACGAATCGCGAAACGCGGGCCGGCGCACGTCGCCGCTTTTTCTCCCCAGCAAGAAGTCGTCGGGCCGTATATGTCGTTGCCGACGACGACGACAACGACGAGTCGCATAGGGCCGCGCCCGAAATTGCTTCCATAAATGTTGAGCACACATAATCGAATTTGCGAAACAATAAACCCGCTGATTGGAAATTAATCAAGTCGCTGTTTATGATTTTACGGTGAGCCGTGCAGAATACGTTATATGCCATCGACGAGTACGAGAGAAGGGTGAATGGGTTGAGACATCAAAACTTATGTACAACACGTTAAAAATTTATTACAAGAATAAATAATTAGTACATATGTATATATTATTCATATAGGGGATTTACATAAAATGTTTTAATAAAAAAATGTTTTAGTAACTTATATCGAAATGCATGCCTATTATAATAAATGTGATAGTTCTTACAATGATTATAGATTAATTCGCGTAACGTAGCATTTGCTCAATCTTTTTTTTTATCGCTCATGACGCTATTATTTCTTTTTTTATTTTTGATTATTCTGTTTTCTCTGGCATATATCTGTTTTCTTTTCTGGAATGTTCGTCCTTTGTGATATTTTCCAAGATAATTTTTATTCTAGCGAAATAAAGTTGAAAAATCGTTATATGTAGAGCATCTTAAATATTACAAGTATTACAAACTTGAAAAGTTTATATGGATAACTGAAAGTTAGAAGAAAAATCGTGGTTAAGAAATAATTTGCGCAGTAGAGAGATGAAATCTTAGTAATAGATTTTGCAATTACAATAATAATGCATAGTACGGATAATATATCTCGCATGCAAAAACATTGTTATTAAATCAGCTTAAGTACTTAAGTTGATTATAATTTCTTGAGTATGTCAGACAGGTACGTTTTAAGACATGCCATTATATATATATTATTGACTTTTATTTAAAGTACGTATAAGTGTACATGCGCTAAGTATACAAAATTACAGTAGCATTACGTAGAAGAGGTTCCGGAGGAGAGTTTATGTACAACAGAGAAGATAATGTATCTATATTTATATATATATAATATCTCTATATATATGTATATACGTATACGTATAAATGGAAGTTTTATTTGGACGTAAGGAGAGAGGATAAAGTTAGTAACAAAACTTAAGATATGAGCATCGTCATTTTCGTTTCTAAAATCGGCAGAATTTAATTCGTCACATACGGGCGGAATAATCTTTTGACGTAGATTTATGGGAAAATCTTGATACATGATACACCGTCCTTCGTTACATTTTTCGCTTACGCTATCTCTATTGAGCTAACAGTAAATACATCGTAACGAGTCTCACATGCTCTCTTTCGAGTTTGATACAACGACGTTGCCGCGGCTTCGTCCCTCGGCTTCGAGCCGAAATAATAGCATTTCTTTCTCGAATGTAGAATATTAAAATACTGTTCTCTCATGATTATCTTAATTTATAAATATCTAAACTAGAGAATGCTAAATTTATTTTCGCTAATGTTGCTCTTGGCATTGGATATATACATTGAAATTTGCATTTATTCGATATAAATATATTGTAGAAAGTACCGTATATATATATATATCATAAAAAAAATGTTCGACATATATATTAGTAATTTGACATAGATAATTTACATTCGAGTGATGCCTTTTTTTCGATCGCGAATTTGAATCGCTCCAACATAAAGCCTTGTAACGAAGCCGGGCAACATAACACGTTTCGTCGGAGAATAGACTAAACAAACAAACAATAACAACAATAATAAAAAAATATTCTCCTTTCGTGTTCAATGTACAGATCGAGCTTTCTCGTCGTGCTATTTGCACGACGGCTTGGCGTCATCCATTATTTATGACACTGTTGTACTATGCTTGCACGCGCACAGTATAAGCTGCATCGATTGAAATATTATTTTCTCCGGCTTTAAATATATATTTCTATAAAAATATGGGCTTCGGTGATAAATTTGATGTTTTTAATGGCTTGACTTGAAGTCTACCAATCGGTCAGATTATTGTATATATATTGCATTTTTATTCTATTTGATGAAATAAATATTTCAATCACCTGCAGCGACGAGTTCCTCGATCTCGTGAAAACGACATACACAGGAAGACAAGAAGGAACTTCTTCGAGGAGCTTCCTTATTTCATTGGTTCATTTTGGCACGGGGTTGAGTCACGCGCGCTTATCTTACATCTTTGCAAGGTTACGCGCAGAATCTTCATTTCAGTAGCATTCGTCGATCAAGTTGTAATTTAGAAAGATTTCGTTAATGAGACAAACTCATTAATTTTGACGAATTTTGGCATCAGACGATACCAAATTATTACTAGTAAACAAAAATATAAAACAATTAAATGTGTAGCGTACATAGACTTATATAAATAGATCTATGATACTGTAACTGTAGAAAAAAATAAAAAAGATTAGGCATAGCGACCGCAATATATAAATTAGAAAAAATAACGAAATAATACATCTTTCGCAGTTTCGATAACGGCAGATTTCGACTGATGATTAATAAATCTACGGAAAACACCGTCCAGCGGCTTTGTCCGCGATCAATCTTCTCGCACATCGTGACTCGTTCTCGTTTGAGCATCTACAGCGAATCAAAGTTGGAGTCCCGATCGCTAGTCTATAAAAAGAATTGATTAACAATATTGATGACATATTCAATGAGACCTTAAATCTTTATGATTCATAATTTAATTAAGAGGAAGTTTCGATATGAATTGTCTCTTACCCTGTCTGGACTGTATAACGGCGGATGCTGCGCCGGAAGTCGCAGTGTGCTGCCTAAATCTCGCTCAGCCATGGTGTGACCTTCGCTGGCGCTGTCTCTGGCATCCCTGTTATCCCTAGTGTCCTTGACGCTATTTCTTCGCGCGGCGGCGACTTTCGTTGGCGGCTGGATCGTCGTTTCACCGCAAGATCTTGCCAGGGTCGAACCAGCTTCGCCTAGATCCAATCTGAGAAGCTTGGTCGGAGCCTGGATGGTTGTCTCGCCACACGAGCGCGCCAGAGTTGAGTCGAGGTCAACCTGAAGATCCCCGCTCCTCAACATCTTAGTCGCCGGCTCTACAGTCGTTTCGCCGCAGGAGCGTGCCAAGGTGGACTCGGCGTCTACAGTACGGGTCACCGTCGCTGATACCTATCGACGATTAAAGTCCCATTATACTTGTGCTCTTTAGACTTGTCGCTAAAATGATAAAAAAAAAACTGAACCAGTACCTGAAAACCGGCGCTAACGAGAGCGCCCGTGGGCGTCATCGGATTTCTTGCTCCTTGCAGATCAGCCTCCTTGCAGTCCTTCATGCTGGATATACTTGGTTTCCTGTTTCCTGGACAATTCGCGCCATTGTCGAGGTAATTTATGAGTTTGTGTTCCTCGGTGGCGAACGTACTCATACCGGCCTTGTAATTTTGCGGAGACTGCGGTGCCGATCGGTATTTAGCGCGCGGTATCATTACCGTCAAGGAACGATCGCGCTGATCGTCATTCATTGGTATCGCTGTAGAAGCATTAAATTTATTAGACCGAATAGCCCAATTTTTTAAATATTATGACGGATTATCTTTCCAATTAATTATGTTATTTAATTCGCAAGTGCGAAAGAAATTGTTTACAATACGTGATAAATGAGAAACATAATAAAACGTACCGGCAGTTGCGGGAATCATGGTAGCTTTTCTGGGCGGTTGACGAGGCTTTGCGCTAATTTTACGAACTGGTCGCTTATTTGGCGGCAACGGCGCTATCATTTGCGGCGGTGGAGGTAAAATATGCGGCACATGATGCGGTATGGCCAAGTCGGCGACGCTACCTTCGCTACTTGTATCGCCACTTGTTCCGGGAATCATCGCCCGTCTGTCGCTGGTCTTTCGATCGCGTCCTGGGTGTCGGAAGCACGTAATTCCCAGACAAATTGCTAGGAGACCCAACAAGATCGCTCCAGTTGTTACCAGAGCTATCAACAAAACTGTCAACATATAGATACGTTTAATCATTTGAATCAATCATATGTGTTTTATGCTGACTTGGTGATATTTTAATCGTGCAAAATCGCTTCATAGACGATGCTACCTTTACCTTTGAGATTAACTTGACAACGTTGGCCACTGTGCCAAGGGAAGCATTCGCACATTTCTTGACCGAGAGAATTGGTGACGCAATGACCTTTGTTGTTGCAGCCAGCGCATCCCAATGGAGCTTGCGAGCATACTCTTCCGGGATAGGCTGGATTTTCCGATAGGTCAGCCCAACCTTCTCTACAAGAGCATTGATAGGATCCTCGTAAGTTGAAACACGCCGCATGAGGTGAACAATCATGATGCGGACCATCCTCTTTAGAAACGCATTCATCAAAATCGATCGCCTCGATCTAAATTAGATTCAAGAATAAAATGTCGGGCATTGATGATTGATAAAAAAAGAATTTTAATTATCATTATTATTCTAGCTATTTATTTATTTATTACGGTTTTACACTCACCAAATCAAGATTCTTTGAAGCGTAAACTTCCGTGCCGCCTAAACTGTAATTGCTTGTAATTAAATATTTTCGTAGTACTTCCTTCAATCTGGTCTCGTTAGCGTTATCGCTGAGTTGCACGTGAAATTCGACTTTCGTAGGATCCGGAGTAAATCCGGCGATTTTAAGTCCTCTGTACACGTCTCTTAAATCACTCTGCATTAAAGTTCTGTCTAAAGCTTCCTTCGTCGGTGCCGCCAAACGTTTGTAAGTTGCCGATGCAGAATCATTCAAGGCAGTTTCGTATGCCACGAATTCATGACCGACGCGATCCAGACCAACGCGTACAGTGTACGTGTAAGTCGCTAAAAATTGTTGCGCGTCAACATAGCATATATTAAACCGTCCGATATATTCATTAAATAAAAATAATTATGTTATATTATATAGAAACGTATCTATGAGTACTTACGTTTGCAAGGCCGATCCGGAAACATTCTCGCAAATCCTGGCCGACAAACGCATCTCATCTCTGCTCCTATTTCGGCGCAAATTTCCGACTTGGATGATTTACATTCCGGCGTACATTGATTCGCGATAGGTGTCATAGGGACCGCTGGGGCACCGAGTATCCCTCCTGCCAGTACTCTGTGAATTTCATTGCCTGTCGGATCCTCTTCGTCGCGAGATACTTCCTCTCCGTATTCAGCCTCCACCTGAAATTCAAGCGAAATATGTTCCTCCATATAAATTGCATTTCTTATAATTATGTTAATTAATTAATTATATATTTTAATATAATTAATTAATTATATTAATTATTTTTATATATTTTTGCTGAGAGAGAAAATATTGATCCAAAATTCGCATTTTAAAGGAAGTGAGACATATATGCACATTTTTATATATATATTATGATTGATAGAACGTATATATTTATATGATTTTCTACCTCTTCCGCTCCAGGCGCGGGTGGTTTTTGATCGGTCATCACGACAAATATCGAATCATTATCCACATTATCGTAAGATGAAGGTACTCTTGTAACGATCGGTTGTAAGATCGTAGAAGTTACCGTAGACACAACGTTTGTCGGACGCAGCAATGTTTCTGTCACTGTCTCCACAGTCGTCGTGGTCATCGTGTGCGTGAGTAGAAGCGTTCTCGTTGTTGGCGGCGAACCCAGTACCGATGTCTTAGTTCTCGTTACCGTCGATGTCTTGTAGCGTGTCACCTAGTTAATGCACATAATTAACACGTACAGTTCTTCAAAAGATAAGACAAAAAAAAATAATATAAATATCTATAAATATATCATTTAAATATCAAAACGCTCGTACCTCTTTTGGTTTCATACGTATAGTCGCATTGGACTCTTCTTTGGCGATGACACTAGTTGTAGTTTTCTCAATGTTCTTTGTGAATTGTGTAGCTAAATTGCTTGTTTCGGAACGCGTCTTATTGTTTGGCATTGGTATCAATGTACTGGTTACTTTAGTGATCGAACTATCAATCCTGGTAACGATTATCGATGATTCTTCGTTCGCTGTTCTATTGACTACGCTATATTCGGTTACATGCGGTTTTTTTGTCTTGATGTCCGATACGGTCGAATGTTGTTGTTTCTTTTGATCCGTACCGACAATGAATGTTAAAGACTCGGTGGGTTCCACCCTCGTCGATGGTAAGATGCTTTCGTAACTAGATTCCAAGAATACTGGATGCTCAGGCCGCTTAACAGGATTTGGAGGAATATTCGGTATATGCGATCTCGTCGGATGGACATCGCGATGGATTGTCGATGATCTGCTCGGCTGAATATAATTGATTTGAGGCGGTCTTAGCTTTGTCGGTATTATCATATTTGTGGACAATGTCGATGTTGTTCGAATGGAGTTTCTAAAATGTAGTCAATAATAATTATAAATAATTGTATTTTGTTCATGATAGAATTTGAGAATTATCAAGTGTAATTTGCATTACCTAGACACGGGTCTTGTATCGAAAGGTCGTGCGGTGTAAACGCTAACGTGTTCGGTAATCCGTTTTGTCGATGTTGATGTTTCTGCGGATCGGAGAATATCGGGAACGTCGATTATGACTGGAAGATCAACAGTGCCGTGAATAATTGGTATCTTAGATTCAATATCCTGAACCACCGGAATATGAGACGTGGCAACAGCAGTCGCTATCTGTATAGAACCGGAAACAGCGACGGCTGGTCGTACGGTAGCGATCTCGAGCGGCCTTGTCGTTGTTAATACCGGTGGCGGTGGTACCATATCCTAAGATACATTAGGGGTTATTTTTCGTGTTTTATTTTATACATAGGAGGATGAATATTTTATAATCTTAAATTTTGAAGATTTTCATTATATTATACAATCTCTTACCTGCGAAAGCAGTTCCACGAGGAAAGGTCTTGTGAGCGACGGCCTCGGACTGGGTGGAACCATATTCGTGCTAGGCGGAGGCGGTGCGACCGTCGTCGATTCTTTTAGAGGTATATATTTCGGCGGCTTGAGACCCGATTCGTTAGTCGTCACCAAGGCGAATCTATCTTCTACCGGCATATGAGTGGTAGTGATGTCTACCGGTGGCGGTGACAATCCGAGTACATCGCTCGACGGCGATGTTGGCGGCGGCGGAGGTTTAAGTCCTTCTTGCTCGTTTTTATTCGATTTATTTGATCCGGCTGGTACATTCAAGGGCGGTGGCATCATATTTCTGGAAGGAACATTCATTTCCTTGTTATTAATCGGCCTCGTCTTGATCTCGTCTCGCTTGTCTTGGGAATCCGACGAGGCAAAATTCGTTTGATACGCTGTGTTCATTGCTTCATCGTTTTTCTTGTTATGCGACATATTGTTCTTCGTGACGAGCATACTTGGCGGTCTTTCGGTTTGCGTCTTGCGGTCCACTTCCTCGCCGGTAGCCTCGACTGACATGGAGAACTTGATGTTCGGACGATCGTGCGTTTCCAGTCCCGCATTATCGCTCGAGATGATTACCGGTTGCGGCACTTGAGGTTTCGGTTTTGTCAGAATATGAGGATATTCCGGGTGTATTCTTGTATACGTTCCGTATTCCGGTCGACGTTTATTCCCATTCGTAATCGGACGAGATGTAGTGGCATTTTTATTCTCAGCTATTTTCACGTTAATCTCAGAAATTCGGGAATTATGCCCCGTTGATATTTTTTGTTGAGATTTTACAATATTCGGGATCGCTACATCTACGTTCCAATTCTGGTGTTCGTGATTCAATTTTATTCCGTAATTTAATGTCTGATTGATAAAAGTATTCGCGGCGTTTGGTTTGACATTTTCCGGACGTTTTGTAGCATAATCAGGTCTGACTTCCAATTTAATCGGAGGTTTCGTTAATATTTCCGGTTTAAAGTACATAACGGGTCTTGAATCAGATTTAATCGGTCTGGAGTACGGTCTGCCTGGTCTGTCTACTTCCGCGCCGAATTGAGATATAATTGCTGGTGGTTTCAGATCGATAGTATCGTCGCGTTCGAGCGAATTTAGCGTCGTGACTTGTCCGTCTTGCGTCTTCTTAACCGATTTTATATTCTCATTATGAGGTGCGGGTATGCCGTGAACTATTTCGTAATCGGGCTTATTTTCTTTTCGTTTGTAACCGTAAGGAGTGGCCTGGTCTACTGTGTAACTATTATAAACGCCGAAAGGCTTTCCTTGTACTATAGGTGATTCGTAAGGTCTCGTGTTGTAGATATTGGTACCGTATGGTCCCTGCAATAATGGCTTTATTTCATGTTTATAAATTATGCCGTGCTCTTGCTCAATTTCCAGCGGTTTATTCATGACCGTATTGATGGAAACGACTGTTCCGTACGGAGCTTGTGATTTCAAGGTTTTATTGATATTTTGAGAATACGTGAAATCTATCGTATCTTTTTTATTTTGATTGTCATTTTCCTGGCTCTTGTTTCCTTTTACATGGTAATGGTTCGGATAATTAATATATTCCGAGGCACCGATGTCAGAATCAGTATTCAATAGCACAGTCTCTCCAATTTGCCATTTTTCAGAATGATCTTCTGGCATTTTCGTAGTAGATGTTTGAGAATGTTTGTTATCTTCCAGTATCGAACTTGGATGTAAAGGATTATGATATTCTATCGCCCCAGTAGGCACATTGTCATTCTGTTCAGTTGGCGAATTGGACGTTGCGATATTATGTACTTTATCTGAATAAATATGCGACGGTCTATTTTGATTTTCGCTCTGAAGAGTAAACGGTTTAGACGGTATACGTGTAGATTCCTGATACGACTGAGAATTCATCGATGGACGATGTGGTAATGCAAAAGTATGCTGCGTGTTTACCGGAGGTCTCTGCGGTCCAGGGTACGTTGGTTTTCTGATCGCAGGATATCCAGTCGGTCGTTCTACAAAGACATGCCTGTCTAAAGGACGGTTAGTCGTCGGTCTTAATATCGGTCGCGGTCTCGGTCGATTGTTTAACGCAAATCTAATTGGCTTTTTATCGGATTTCCAGTTGGCGCCTAACGCTATCTCGTTTCCAGAATCTGGTTTTCCAAGGAATATATAGCGATGTGGTACTTCGGTTGCTCTTGTTTCCTTTTACATGGTAATGGTTCGGATAATTAATATATTCCGAGGCACCGATGTCAGAATCAGTATTCAATAGCACAGTCTCTCCAATTTGCCATTTTTCAGAATGATCTTCTGGCATTTTCGTAGTAGATGTTTGAGAATGTTTGTTATCTTCCAGTATCGAACTTGGATGTAAAGGATTATGATATTCTATCGCCCCAGTAGGCACATTGTCATTCTGTTCAGTTGGCGAATTGGACGTTGCGATATTATGTACTTTATCTGAATAAATATGCGACGGTCTATTTTGATTTTCGCTCTGAAGAGTAAACGGTTTAGACGGTATACGTGTAGATTCCTGATACGACTGAGAATTCATCGATGGACGATGTGGTAATGCAAAAGTATGCTGCGTGTTTACCGGAGGTCTCTGCGGTCCAGGGTACGTTGGTTTTCTGATCGCAGGATATCCAGTCGGTCGTTCTACAAAGACATGCCTGTCTAAAGGACGGTTAGTCGTCGGTCTTAATATCGGTCGCGGTCTCGGTCGATTGTTTAACGCAAATCTAATTGGCTTTTTATCGGATTTCCAGTTGGCGCCTAACGCTATCTCGTTTCCAGAATCTGGTTTTCCAAGGAATATATAGCGATGTGGTACTTCGGTCGAGACCTCTGCGCGTCTCGGTGGAACTTGCTCTGGCGGATTCTGATTATTCGAGAAATGACCACGCATTGGCGTTTGATGGACGGAATGCGTATGAGAATGAATAGATGAATGAGGAGCGGATTGCGGTCGAATGTTTACTGTCTCTGGTTTGTGATGTACAAGAATTTCTCTATGAACGTGGCCTTGACTGGTAGTTCCGGATCCCTCAGGACGTTTAATAAAGTGTACTTCCGACGGTCTTTTATCGGGTCGTATTATAGGCGTTTCTGGCACTTCTTGCGGTCTTCCGCGCCCAGGCGACAACAGGATAGCGTGCGGATGATTGGAGAAACCTGGTTTCGAAGAAGCAGGTTTGAAACTAGCAGGTGGTGACGGAGGAACCATGTAATCTGCTGGATCTTTCTCGCTTGAATATTGCACTAAGTCCTCGACCTAAGCATATATATAGCGGTAAAGAATTGAGCTTTGCATAACAAAGATACAGATATTTAAAAGTTATTATACGTACCTTCTGAATACCGACGAAACCTGGCCCAGCTTCAGGTTCCGGATAAGGTGAAGGATCGTCAAAATATTGACCACTTATATGAGGTTCATTGGTGTCTCCAAAAATCAGAGCTTGCGTGCCACCCTGAGGAATCACGACGTTAGCTACTTGACTGGGTTGAATATTGACCAATAGAGGCTGCCCCGTCGATCTATCAATGACATGCGGGACTTGATGAACTATCGGCTCGGTTGGTATCGGCTTTGATTCTGAGCTCTGTATGATAATAGAAGTATCCGGTAATAAAGGATCTTTTTGTGCCCACGGCGGTCGTTTCTGTTCTTCTGAAGGCAACATAGTCGGACGAGGTTTCTCAATCGGTTTATCCGGATGAATCTTGAAAGAAATTATCATATATTGCCACGCACACATGCTGCGCAAATAGATGCTTTGGGAAAAAGAATTCATAAATAAAAAATCAAATATAATTGTATATATAGGATATGTCCATATATGTTTTTTTCTCTTGTATAATCTCTATCTCTATATACAGAAAAAATAACAAGAGTAAATAAATAATAATAAAAAGAATAATTTTTGTATCGTTTTTCAGAAAAAACAAAATTAGAAAAAATGAGAAAAAGAACAATGCAAAAATTATCCTTTTAATTATGTTTTAATTATATTTAAAAAAATTTTCCTGTATACTTATACAAACAGAGATTAAACAAAAGAAAGTAAACATATATGGAAACATTCTATATATAATTATTTAATTATATATGTATTATATATATTATACATATATTATTATACATATATGGACTTTTTTCCCGGGTGTATTGTACAGAAATAACATAAATATACCTCGTCAAATCTCGCAGGTGATAAAGGCGGTGTTAAAGGATCTTTGGCACTCCAAGGTCTTCTATATTTCTCCGGATTCCATTCCGGAATTTTAAGATTTACATTGGGATTTGCGTATTGCTCCACATTCGGTCTATCGGGCGGCTTCAGCAAAGGATCGTTTTCCAAGATATCTTGCTTCGAGACAATTCTTTTTGACGGTATCGATTGAACGGGAAGCAGTTTTTGAGATTGTTTAGAAACTGTTGAATGATTCGGATTATCAAGAGGAATTGAAATCGGCACTTTCAAATGTTCCTCGTAAATCTGATGGGCCGGCAAGATCTGCACTTGCGGACCTTGCGCGGTTTGTTGAGTTTGTACATTGTCGCGATCGTTCTCCAGGACTTCTAACACAGGATGCACCGGAATATTCGGTACCGGTAAAGGCGGAGGTTTCATGCCAATATGCTTTTCGTCTTTCAAAAACGTCTGCGGCAATCTCGGTGCCATTTTGCCCGGTTTTCCTATGATAACATCGCTGTTTGCCGTGATTATTTCGCCCGGAGATATCGGTATGCCGTCGGCGAGACTGCTGGTTACCTTGTGACGCGTTTCGGCGATATAATTGTGATTGAGATTTGCCAGATGAGCAGCTGGAAAGAACAATTTTGTAAAATATCGGATAAAACGTCAATAACGACGAGAGAGCAGAATATTACCGATGTGTTGACTTTCAGCGGTTTCTATATCACCGTCAGCAAATTCTGCAACGGGAATGTAAATCGGCGATCGTTGTGTTGTGACTTCTTGAGTTTCGGCGATAGATACGGTATCGTTTCTACGAGAGGCAGTGCTTTTCCCCTGCAGCAATCCAGCCATTGCCGTAATCACCGGTCCCAAGGCAGACAAGCTGTTTATTCCTAAAGAACCCAGACTGAGAAGATTACTGACTTGAAGATCTTCTCCGGATTGAGAATTGGGACGTTTGTTTTGTGGCTCGTCAGTTGATAGCGTGCCATTATTATCCTATGGGAAAATGTAGAAAATTTTAACATATATCCAAATTTTTGATACATAGGTCAGTATTTTTTTCTTAATTTTTTTGGAAGAAGGTTAGAAACAAAATGTGCATACTTGTTTATTATTTAAATCTATTGGTTTTGCATCAGAACTAATGTTCTGTGACACCGTATTCATCGACATCATAGTTGTCGTGCTCGTGACATTCTTCTCGTGTTTTTTTATTTCCGTGAAAGAGGTTGATTCCGGGAGATTTGAGGTCGCTGTCGGATTGATCTGATCTTCTTCGTCGAAAAAGATAATCGTCGAGCCCGTGACAACATTTTTCACCGAATCGGAATGGTGTGCAGTCGTCAATAGAGCATTCATGTAGTCGGCATCTAATAAACTCGGCGCTATCGATTCCGTTACGACGTTTTCAACGATATGTGAGCGAGACGTCACGGTGGTCGACGTTTCTCCATCTGGGCCAGCCTATAATGAGAGAAATTTTAAAGATTTATATATATATATATATATAT